GATCGCCCTCCGGACCTTCAGCTGCTGCCTGTGGGAGCCCAGCAGTCCTCTCTGCCTCCACACTTCTATGTGGTCTCCACTTTTCCTCCTTGGTTATGAGGGTGCTCTCCTGCTCATCTGCAGTTGCAGTTGATTATTCAGGGTGGTTTTTCTATATTTCAGTTGTAATTCCATTGTGGTCCTGGGAGAGCGTCAGTGTAGCTTCCACTCAATCTGCAGCCATCCTGTAATGCCTCAGTCTACCTTTCCTGATTCAGGTGCAGGAAGAATGTGGACCAACAGCATCCACAGCATTTGAAAAGATGCCCACAAGGCTGCAGCTGTGCTCAGTACTGAAGTGGTTAAACTTCCTCATGTAAGAGCAGAGCACTTAAATCATAAGAGTTACTTAACATTCAGCTTAGCTTTATGGTGATTTAGAGTTTGTTTAATTAGTATTTAGAACTGCACACTGTTTATAGCTATTGGTATTTCAATAGATGCTTAAATGTTCGAACATTTAAAGTTTAATAAGCCTTAGTTCTTTGAAGAAAAACATTGATGTAATTAAATTTTCAATTATTCTGTTGTTGTTTTTAGGGTCTATGCAATTAATAAAAGTTAAGGCATTTAACAGTACTCATTTAAAAACCTAGTCAACCGCTTAACTAATTAGCTAATGCTTATAATAGATATTTTTTAATATAAAAGTCTCACATAGGCAATCACAACTTTTGAAAAGTACATATAATGACACATAAGAATAAATGAAAGTAGCTTTGTTTCAGGATTATTCTGTGTGTGGATCAATTACGGCTTTCCCCAAACCATTCTTATGCATCAATGCCAATTACTATTTGTTTGTTTGTTTGTTTGTTTTAATCATGTGGTCAAATTAAAAACACTGAAGCTATTGTTCTTCAGAGCTTCATTGCCCTTAGCACATTCTAGAGGATCTTACATGCAAGTTGGAAAAAAGAAAGTGGCAGATGTTTTTCAGGTTGAATGTAGTCTTATTTTAATTAAACACTAAATTTAAAGTGGAATAGGAGAAAATTCTCCATTCCCAGATCTTTGCTACCCTAAGATCAGCAGTAGAATCAGTATTACATAAGAGCTTATGATACATGCCCCACCCCAGAACTACTGGATCAGAATCTAAATTTTAAAAACATCCCTGTATTTAGTGTGCACATTGAAGACTGCAAAAGCTTCAAAAGCATGATCAGTTTACTAGTCAGAAAAGAAACATGCCAGACTTTACTTGGGTGGAGGGAAGAAACCGACAAAGAAAAATTCCACTTTAATTTCCTAGGATGAAGGTGGTGTGGTGATCTCTACTCATGGCATAAAAGAGGGGCACTTTATCAAGTTTGAGAAGCAGGCTAACCAAGAAAGGCAAGTTCAGATCCTAAAGAACAAGAATTTAAGGGGCAGAAAAAAGAGAAGCTCATAAGGGGGCCAAGAAGTAAAGTAGAACACTAGGAGGCTGGAGTAGGAAAACCAAGAAAAGAGGCATTTCCTGAGGATATCTCAAAACACCAGTACCAGGTTTTGTTTCTGGTTTGGTTTTGTTCTGTCGTTTTGTTTACTACTAGATCACAGGCTTGTTGTAAAAGAATATGACTCAGGAACAGCCAGATAGAAGAGATACGTAGGGCAGGGCCAGAAATGATGTCTACAAGGAAAAAATAAAGGGACTGAGAAGCTTCTGGTGAGCTTCACCACATGGAGAGGAGTTTCACAGTTCTTTCAGAAAGTTTAGGAAGAAATGGCATGGTATATATAGAAAACTAAGCCAAAGAATGAGGTGTTAGTTAAGAGATGATTGAGTCCTGACCCAAAAGTTAAATGAAAAATAAAATATAGCTGTAGTGTACCACATGGCTCAGCTCTGAATAATATTTACATGTTCAGATTAATATAAATATGGAATATTTAATTAACCCCAAATTGTGACAGAACAATCGTGGGAGAATATGGGACGGGAAGTATGGGTGGATGGTAGAGTAAGGGGAAAGGGTGAGGTAGGTAGAGGAAAACCAAATGCTCATTTTCCATAAAAGTGAGAAGATTACATTGGACAATGAAAAATCAAAATTCATAAGTATAAACTTGTTACTTTGAAGAAGCTGCTAAAAGAGGGGAAATTGGTTGTTTCTAGGGAGCAATACTTGAGGGTAGGGTGTGGTAAAGCAAGAGACTTTTGAATTTTGCAGAACTATTATAAGTTTTAACTATGTGTGACATTAAAAAACTAAAACTAAAACAATACATATATATGTAAGTAAATAATTTGAAACAACTATAAAAATCAACCAAGTAAAAAGGAAGTATTCTGGGAATCCTAATACAGGATGTAGATGAGCAAGATTCCTGTGGACACCCGGTCCTCTTTACACTGGTTCACCACATCGCCAGACCCACCTCCACCTTATTTCCTTCTCAGGCCCCTAATCAGCACAATTCCTTGCACTTAGATCTCCAGAGATGAAGCCACCAATGAGCATAACTAAATATTGCTCTCTGCACCATCTAGGGAATAAAACAAGAAATAGCCTTGTTGGCGTGGCTCAGTATCCACCTCTGATCCAGGAGATCATGGTTCGATTCCCGGTCAGGGCACATGCCCGGGTTGCAGACTTGATCCCCAGCAGGGGGTGTGCAAGAGGCAGCCGATCAATGACTCTCTCATCATGGATGTTTCTGTCTCTCTCTCCCTCTCTCTCTGAAATCAATAAAAATATATTTTTAAAAAAACAACAAGAAATAAAACTGGGTCTCTGCCAGGTTTTACACAAATTCTATTTGAGAAGCTGTTATGAGCAGGAAACAGATAATATAAATGAATTACAATTAAGTACTAATTTGTATGGTACAGAGTATATAGAGTTCAGAGACATGTCAGATCAGAGAGAATGTGCTTAGAGCAGTGAAAGGCAAAGTGGAAAGTGGTGAGGAAGAGGCTGGATGTGGAACTTAGGCCACATCATTGCAGTGCTCTGTGAGTCATGTCAAGGTTTGGGGGTTTTATCCCAAGTGTAATGGAAAACCAATAAAAGGATCCTAGCCAAGGAGTGACAAAATAGAATCCCAGCCAAGGAGTGAAAATTTTTAAGATTACTCTGATCACTGGGTGAAGAATGGGCTGGAGGGAGGCAAAAACCAACAGGGGGAATAGTAAAGAGGCTATTAAAGTGGTTCAGGTAAAATAGTATGGTTGCTTTGGATCAGGGTCATGGCTGTGGAGATACAGATGGTTAAAAACTCATTACAGAAATAGAATCAATAAAATTTGCTGATGTCTTCCTTGTGTAGAGGATAGAGGGGAGGGACTAAGAGGAAGAAACAGCTAAGGATGACTCCCAGGATTCTGGTTGGAACAATTGGGTTGGTGGTGGTTTCACATTCCCAGATGGAGGAAGACTGGAAAAGAAAGGTACAAGTTTTATTTTTTTATTTTTGAAATATGTCTTTATTGATTTCAGAGAGAGGAGAGGGCGAGAGAGAGAGAGAAACATCAATGATGAGAGAGCCATTGATCAGCTGCCTCCTGCACGCCCCCTGCTGGGGATCAAGCCTGCAACCCCAGCACGTGCCCTGACCAGGAATGGAACTGAGATATCCTGAATCATAGGTCGATGCTAAATCGCTGAGCCACGTGGGCCAGGTGAAAGGTACACGTTTTAGACAGGAAGGTTAAAAGTTAGGTATTGAACAAATTAAGATGCAGATACTTGAGATACCCTACTAAATTGTCAAGTAATCAGTTGATTCATTGTCCTCTCTGTATTCCATCTTTTAGGACACCACATGGGTTTGGGGCTCAGCAATGAAGTCTAGTCTAGAGCCAGTTTGGGGGATTGTTAGCATATAAATGGCACTGGAAGTCGTGAAAATGTGTGAGATCATTTAGGGAAGTGGTTTTCAAACCTGGGTTGTGTTCACAGTGCAATTTTCAAGATTCCATCACAGAGCGTTTCTGATTCAGAAAGTCTCAGTGAGGCCCAGCAATCTGCTTTATTAAAAGCCAACTAAAAGGTTCTGATGGCTGGGAGTTCAAGCTCAGATTGGAATGGTTTAAGCACAATCCAAATATGAGGAAGTAGCAACAGAAGTAGCCAAAGTTGGAGAGAGAGAGGTTCTTATTGTTGGGGGTGGCATGGGGGAGCAATGTGGGGTCAAACAGAAAGTTACATTTCTTTTGTATTGTTAGTTTGGTGTGTCGTTTTTTTTTTAAGGTGGGAGACACTAGAGCAGTAGTTCACCTTCTGAACTTTCAAAAAAGTATCAATGCACAGGCTCCATCCCAAACCAGTAAATCAGAATCTCTGCAGGTGGGGCCCAGATAGCAGTTTTTTTTATTTTAATTTTAATTTTATCTTCCCTCCTCCCCCAAGCATTGTTTTTACTTCCCCAGTGCCTGGCATAGAGTATGTCTTCAATTCATGTTTGTTGTTGTAAAAAGTATTGCTGGCTAGTTAGCAGATGATGTAGAGCACAGGAAACCACTGCACGAATTGTGAAGTTTATGTAATCCAATTTCCTTACTTTCAAATGGGGGAAATGAAGCCCGAAAGGGGAATTCCTAAAGTCCCTCGGGCTTGTAGTGGCGAATCAGGACCAGAATCCGGTATCCCAACTTTCAGGTCACAGGATTTCAACAATCTTCATTTTGATCGCTCCGCAAACCTACTCACCAATGAAGACTCAGATTGTCTAACAATACCTCCCCCTCGGCACCCCATTTCCTCAGTCACTAACCGCCTGTGCCTTCCCTTTCATCAAACCCATAGTCACTCACAAACCCCCCTCCGTCCCAGACCCATCCTCTCAGCATCAAGCGACCGCCTCTAGCCCGGCGCCGGGACTTTACCGATGGGACCTAGAGGCCCTCCCGGCGCTGGCGCCGCTCCGCGGCCGACTCTGCGCCATAGCAACCGGTGACGCATAAATCGGCCGGCGGCAACAAGGGGACAGGAGTTTGGGGTACAGTTCTGTTTTGCATTTGCTTTCCTTACCGCTTCCCGTGCCTGATGCGTGACTTTTAGGGTCTGGTAAGAAAGCTCCATCAGAAACTGTGTTAGGGCCGGAGAGAAGAGAGAAAAGAAGCCACTTGCTGATCTACGGGTAAGTACATCCAAGAAAGGCAGCTCGGCGAAACCTGACGATTAACCAGCCCGCCCCTTACAGGATTGGCCAGAGCCTAGACAGATCAGCCAGTCACTGGGCAGAGATGGATTCTTTATCATGCCAATCAATGATAAAATTAGCATGTTTAATCCAGAGCGTTTGCCAGGCGCTGACCAATCAAGAGACCGAGAGAGGATGATTGGCAGGGCTTGGGGCGGGGGTTGCAATTGTTTCGGGTCTTTTAATTCTGTCTCCATAATATGCAAGCTAACCGAAATTTATGTATCATCGAATTTGTCCTTGATTTCGGCAGCTGTTCAGGCCTTTGTGATTCAATCCTTATGTTCCTAAGACCCTACTTATGACATCCCTTCTTCTCTAGGGCCCCCTCTCCCTCCCCATTAAACTTAAGATTTGGTAGTTCCTGCTTTACTTTGAAATTGCCTATGTGTGGTCCATTTAGGCTGAAAAAAAAAAAAAATCTGCTGTGGACTTTTTTGTTTTGTTTTGTCTTGTTTTGTTTTCAGGGGCATTCTAGGATGCAGACTGTGTATCAAACTTTTCCTTCTCCTTCAGTTCCCTCCACATCAGATTTATTCTCATTAGAAAGGGACAAATATGGACTTTACATTTACCTCTGCTCCATTTTCTTCATGTATTTTAAAAAATATATATCTTTACTGATTTCAGAGAGAGGGAGAGGGAGAGAGAGAGAGATAGAAACATCAATGATGAGAGAGTCATTGATCGGCTGCCTCCTGCCTGCACCCCACTGGGGATCCAGCAGGCAACCTGGGCATGTGCCCTGACTGGGAATCAAACTGCAGTCTCCTAGATCCTAGGTGGATGCCCAACCTCTGAGCCACACCAGTTGGGCTACCATTTTAATGTCCATGGGATTTGTAGTGATGTCCCCTTTTGTTTCTGGTATTAGTAATTTGTGTCTTCTCTCTTTTTTTCCCCCTTAGGTAGCCATTTATTGAAGAATCTGCATCATTTGTCCTGTGGAATTTCCTATCTACAGCTGTTTGCAGCCTTGTGGTGTGGTTTAACAAGTTCTCTATTTTGCATCTCTCTTTCCCTTATTTTCTGTGAGACATAGTCTTGATTAGACTTTTGAGCAAGAGCATTTCATGTTACTTCCTATTGTACCATCTTCAGGAGGCAAATAATACTTGGTTGCTCCACTTTTACTGATATTAAAATTGATCGGGTTGGTTCATGTGTGTCATCATGATCCATCCACTAGATGCCAGTGCACATCCCAAATTATGACAACCAAAAATGGTTCCAGACATTGCCAAATGCCTTATCCCCCCCCCCAGGGGTAAAATTGCCCCCAGATTAAAACCATTTTTTCCTCCAAAAAAAAACAACAAAACCCCATCATATTTATTTAGTTTAACATATCCCTTGATCTAAAGAGAAAGATGTCAAAAGAAAACCTAAGACATATACATAAGCATGCACCCCCACCCCCAACCCAGATAACATAATAATAATAATAATAATAATAATAATAATAATAATAATAATAATAGAGGCAAAGTTCTAAATAGATAAAGTTATCTTTACTTCTGGAAGATATTTCCATGTCCCATTCCATGTCTTTTTCCTCTCAAGGCTGGTTGGGTTCTCAGATTAGCAGCTCTTTCCCAGCCAGCCCCTGAGCCTTGGTTTTTCTTTTTCATGCTCTTTAACATGGGCGAGTTTTTCAGCATGTCAGGCAAGATCAGAAAGTGGATCTTGCTGCCACAGATGTATACCTGCTCTAGCTGTGCCATTCAGCATCTCTGTAGGGCACGGTGATGTTGGACATCTAGCAGTTCCTGTTGTCTGTTTTGTGAGCTTCCCACCTTATACCTTCCTGGTGTTTGTCTCACATCCACCGAGTGGCCTGCTTTCTGGTGCAAAAGGCAGGCTTCCCGCTCCCAGAATGGATTTTTAAACTGTATCAATTTATTGCTTGCTAAACTATTAATGATTGCAGACAAAAGAAAATCTTCTCTCTTTTTTGAAAAAATGTGTTTATTGATTTTTTTTTTTTTAGAGAGAGAGAAGGAGAAACATCGATGTGAGAGAGAAACATCGATGGATTGCCTCCCTTATGTGCCTCCATCAGGAATCAAACCAGCCACCTTTTGGTTCACAGGACGACACTCCAACCAACTGAGCCACACTGGCCAGGGCAAAATCTCCCCTCTTCCTAAGAAAATTTTATTTTTTCATCTTTTTATAAAACACATTAAAATTTCTCATGCTTGAGTTTTGAAACATTGTTTAAATAATTAGGGAAGTAACAAAATTGTGTCTGGTGTGCACACTAAGGATGCTTCCAAGGCATATTATTTGATGTATATGACACGGAGCACAAGCTTACCACTGTTTCTCAAGGCATATTATTTCCCAAGGATTGAAAAACAGAGTCCAACTTCAGTTGGAGAAAACGAGTTACTGCCCTCGTTCTTTCTCTTACAGCAAGGATGTTTCAGAGGGTGAATTCTGAGTGTTTTTTAGTCATAAGACTTTTATTTTATTCATTACTCTCTTCAAATCATACATTAATCCCTCAGTCCTATCCCTTTCTATCAGCCCCTGCCCTAGTAGACCCTCTGGAATTCTGTTTTCACCACCTCTCTTATGTCAGACCATCTTCAGCAGAGCTGTGCTAGGCATGCAAGAATGAGGGGCAGTTTCAAGAATGGCAAGAAATGTACCTGCCTAACTGCAAACCCTGTGACAGTGAACTATAAGTCATCTTTAAATATATATTGTTAAAACTCCCTTTTTTATATTATTAAAAAATGTATCTTGTCATTCTTTAAAAACTGTCAACTCTGTCAATGGAAAGGGAAAAGTTTTAATCATACAGACACTCCGTGTTGGTATAAATCTCTCTCTGCCAACAATTGTTGGTATGGAAGAGCTTTTATGGGAGCTTATCCAAAAAATTAAGCGAAATCTGGTTTTTGCCCCATCGCTGTTATCAGTGTCATTTTCCAATTTACCCAAAATGGTACCAAAATGTTTGCAGTCTCCCTAATTTCCCCTCCACAACCGTTCTCTTGCTGCTCTTGCTACAGCGCCGTGTAGCAGCTCGGAGTCCCTCTCGAGAGCCACCAGGGCCGGGATTGGAATCTTTACTGCTTACAACTTTAGGAGAGGGATTGGACCTGTTCAGGCCTTGTCTCCTCATCTGTAAGACAGAAATAGTAACACTCTCTTAGTGTTGCGTGGGAAAGACTACGTTAGCAAAGTTTCCTTGATTAAGAGATTGTTTGCTTTTTGCGTTTTTGGGAGAATGAATCATCAACAAAACAAAGAATCCTACCCATATTAGTTTGAAAACCGAAGGGAGTGGATTTTACTGGACGGATAGCTGGTAACTTACATCATCAAGCCAAGGGAACGTTGAACAACAAGGCTCCGAAAGGGCAGATAGCAGCTTCAAGGACCTCTGCAGCTGTTCCCTTCACTCACAAACGTCCTGCCATTAGCATGACTCATCTTCAAACTCCCTCAGCCTGCACATCTCTCAGCACACATTTTCACAAAAAAGAATCTGATTGCTTCCCCCTGGCTAACAGATGGGCTTTTCTCAGCTGGTGATGCGCCACGTCCAATCAGTTATGGCTAGGGAGGAGGCGCCCGTGACACAAATAGGCTTGCGGGGCCAGGAGGAGAGCAAGGCTGACACGCACGCCCAGAAGCATGTGGTTCCAGTGCTCACAAATGCCTGGACATAATGAGCACTTAGCGTGTCCTAGCTATCGTTGTTGCTGCTAGGGAACTGTGTCATTTTCAACCTCCATGCCTTCTATTACACTTTTTTTTTTTAACCTCTGCAGTGTCATTCTTCCCCTTTTTGAATGAAAATGAAATCTTTGCTTTTCATTGATCCAGAAAATATTTATTCCATACTTAATAGGAGTCAATGTTCTTGGCAGTAGGGATACAGTAGAGAACAAAGTTTCTGCCTTCATGGAACTTATATTCTAGTGAGGGCTGGGGACTGCAGGGATAATTACCCATACACCATGAATTCATATAATTGGGGTAGTGAGAAATTCCAAAACGAAGACAAATCAGTTTGAGGAGATAGATAATGATTGTGGGGGAAGAATAAGAGCTAAATGTGGGCAATAAAACAGGACTTGTGGACTGTGATAAGGAGTTTGATTTTGATTTTTAGACTAATGTAAACCAATTGAAATATTTTGAGTAGGGGGGTCGGTGAGATCAGATTTATATTTATAAAATATCATAACAACTGTTATATGGAGACTGTTTATAGTGGAACAAGATAGAAAGCAAGGAAGTAGCCCTAGCTGGTTTGGCTCAGTGGTCAGAGCATCAGCCCTCAGACTGAAGGGTCCCAGGTTCGATTCTGGCCAAGGGCATGTACCTGGGTTGCAGGGCCCGATCCCCGGCCTTGGTCAGGGTGCCTGTTGGAAGGCAGCCAATTGATGTGTCTCTCTTGCATCGATGTGTTTTTTTCTCTCCCTGAAAAGCAATCGAAAAGATATCGTAAGGTGAGGATTAAAAACAACAATTGATACACAAGAGACAATTTGAAAACTCTGTGATCATCAGAAAGAATATATGCACCCCTATGTTCTTAGCAGCACAATTTACAATAGCTAAGATCTGGAAACAGCCCAAGTGCCCATCAGTAGATGAGTGGATAAAAAAGCTGTGGGACATTTACACCATGGGATACTATGCAGCTGTAAAAAAGAAGGATCTCTTATCCTTTGGGACAGCACGGAGGGACTTGGAGAGTATTATGCTGAGTGAAATAAGCCAGGCAGAGAAAGACAAGTATCACATGAT